CTTGGGGTGCGTATGTACACTTACATATCGCACTTGTTACGTTAAAGCGTAACAACTCAAAATCTGAACATTTTCAGTAGAGACGAAAAACTGTTTCCGTAAATATTAATAATATATTACAAGGAAAAAAATATGTANTCTTACTACACGCCTCATATCTTCGAGCCTCCCTGCTCGCTACTCGCAGCTAACCTCCTGGTCTCCTAGGGATTCTCTGTATATAATCCCTACTACCTTCTAACGCCATTTCCCTAGCAAAATTAACAAAATATGGCGTGGCTCCTAATACTTCGTGCTACGCCGATATAATGCAGCAAACTACCTTAGCTAATTGCCTATACCATGATCGCTACTTCTCCGAAACGCTAGCCCTAAGCGTAGTTTTTATAATCTGATGTATCCTCTCAGCCGGATAAGCCTGCGGATGGTAATGTGAGGTGTACCGAAGTTGGACGTCATACGCACTGCAGAGCCCCCGCAGTTCAAGACTCCTAAAATGGGGTCCGTTGTCGCATACCACCGCCCGAGGACAAGAAACAAAAGAAAAACATTGTCTTCGCCATAGCCGTCGTAAGGGAAACAGNCGCCCGAGGACACGAAACAAAAGAAAAACATTGTCTTCGCCATAGCCGTCGTAAGGGAAACAGAAGGGGAAACTTAGAAAGATAGTCTAGAACGGTCAAAATGTATTGGTAGCCCTGGGACGACTTCACCAAGGGGCCTACCAAGACAACACAAATCATCTCCAAAGGCTCGACTTCCTTGGACCTCTCGACCAAGCCCCCAGCTGGTTGTGAATTTCCAGGCTTCACCTGTTGACAAATCTTACAATTTTTCACATATTTCGCTACATCCGCTTTCATCTGCGGGCAATAAAACTTCTGCGCAACCCTAGCGAATGTTTTTCGGACAGCCATGTGACCTGCCAACTTTTCATCTTGAATCATGATATTTCTTCAACACCTCAGGGTATGACAAGGGTTCTTTTTCAACTGTCCGAAACATTTTCAACAACCAAGGGTCACTGGCAGAAACCTCAGCAACAACTGGCACACTGCGAGGCAACATGGAACCACATGTTCCTTGCCCTTCCGGTGAACAGTCTCAAAATCGTACTGCTGCAACTTCAAGACTCAACGCGCCAACCTACCACAGGGGTCCTTCAAATTATTCAGCCAAAACAGAGAATAATGATCCATTACAACTGTGAGCCTAGCCTTCTCAACATATGGTCGCAATTTCTCAACCGCCCACAAAACCGCTAGACATTCCTCTGTCGTCGAATAATTCTTCTCGCCCTTGGCCTTATGGCTTGGTAGAGGAGCAAAAGCTTGGACCGCAGACCTCACCGATACGAGTTTCGTACCCAAGGCGACTAGTTCCGCAACTTACCCCGGCGAAACTAGTCCCAGCTGCGTTTGGTAAAACGCCAGAAGATTCTCCCTAATGATCCCTATCAACCTCTTCTCAGACAGTGGCTCCTGCAACCTACCGAAGATAATTTTCATCGCCACCACATACACACCGATGGACTCGTTCACTCCCTGAGTCCGCCGGCGAATCGCGCCCATTAGTAAGTCGTCGTAGTTGGAGGGCAGAAATTCCAACTTCAGCTCTTTAACCAATTCCTCCCAACTACTTATCGTCCGCCTATTTGACCTAAACCATAGGAGCGCCTTTCCCGAAAACAAATCAACCGCGCCGCGGAAGAGTTGAGAATGTATTATATACATTATTTTTAAATTGAAAATTGCATCCTCCGTGTTTTTTTTTGTTTGTTAAGAGTCAAACTTTCTAAAACGGNTAATGACACTAAAGAGTGATAAGCCGAAATAACACGTAACTTAAACAAACTTAAACAAACCCTTTGGTTGTAAACAGGCACAATTCAAAATGTTACACTTTATGTGACACAAATTTGTTCAAACACTTGGAGACAACTAAAAATGTAACTCTTTAGTTGAGACAAAAGAAGTCATTCTGAAAACAAAGAGAGAGTCATAACGGTTTTTTTAACGAAAGACTAGACAAACCACTGACCGATTTTTACAGTGGGTAGAGATGACCACTGTACATTGTTTTCTTGCAAAAAACTAAAATTTGGAAATTTTGAGTTGTTACGCTTTAACGTAACAAGTGCGATATATGTACATACTGAGATGTGAACAGTCAAATACGTGCGTAATAAATTTTGCATGAAAATATTATTTTTAAATACGAACATTTTTAAACGATAATCAAATATAAAATATTCATTTTTACTATGCATTATTTCCCTCAGTATATACTAATGTCATTGACATTAACTTCCTTACAGAAGAGAATATGACCTTAATTCCATTGACATTATTGCACGGCACCGAATTTAAATTAGAAATTATTCGATTTTGTTGCCACCTACATTTTTGCAGGCTTATTTCTCTTTATATCTACTACTAATATGTAACTAATCGGCCAAGTCTGCCATGTAACTAAATGTTGCGTGGTGTTAGGCGTTCCTGCTATTCTTTTGGAGATTTTTGGCGATAAAAATCGGCTATAGAAAATGCTGGAATCTTGCTGCTGGTTTTCGATGGAGATGGTGCTTTTTATACTTTTAATAGCTCTCAAGAAAAGCGAAAAATTCAAATATGTACACAAATGACGCACAAGAAATTTCTTAAATACTTTATCAAAATTTCTTAAATCAGTTTGCAGCTCTCAAGAAAAATGTTCGTATATTTATTTCTTCAAGAAAATTTACAGCGAAAGGGAAGCTATTTTTCAAGCAACAGAAATAATTAAAAATATTTCTTGTGATTTTTCTTGAGAGCTGGATTCTTAGCTTTTAGATACAGTTCGTATTTGAGGTTATTAGCTTTAGGGGGGGTATGAACCCCAAAACCCACCCCTTGTGTGCGCTAATGGATATAACGATTTGAAAAAGTACGTGATTGGTCAGAATTACGAAAAATTCTAAAGTTTGACAGATCATATCTGCGAAGAAAAAAAAGAAAGAAAAATATTCCTCGAATACGTATTAGCTTATTTCATGTGTAGAACTCATAAAAAAATTTTACGCGCATAGAAAGTGTGACATCAAATTTGATGTCCGATACGAACAAGAATGCCTCATATATATGTATTTCATTACTACAACGCATAACAAAAACTTCAAAATAAAAGTTACGAGCAACGAAAAAAAAATTTCATTGAGAATAACTCTTGCTAAGCAACGTGAAGAAACAAAAGTAGAAAATATAAGTTACGAGCAACGAAAAAAAATTCATTGATAACACAGGGCAACACTGATTTTGGTGCGGCAAATGTTAAATCTGTTTTTGATAGACTTTTTTGAGCTGATTACGAATCCGTAATTATAAAGATTCCATCACGTACAGATTTTGAGAAAATCGTGGTCAAAGTGTCAAAAAATCGGGTTTTTTTCAATATTTGAGAAGCTCGAGCAAAGAGTAAAATTGTGGTAGAACCTTCCACTTAGGCTTAACTTAAAGCTAGAACCCTAGGCTACTGCCCCTGAAAATACCACCCCTGCACCTTTACTTGATGGCCATTTATAGTCATTTGTTGAACAATAAAAAAAATGCTGGCGAATTGTGCTATTGAAAAAAAAATTCTGACAAAATCAGTTTTTGCTGTTCAATAAACGACTATAAGTGATCTTAGGGTCAAGACGAAGAGATGGTCTTTTTAGGGATTGTAGTCGAAAGTTCACGCCTTAATTTAAGATTAAGTGGAAGGTTCTATCACCTTTTGTTTAATTGCGGCAGGGACTCAAACTTCGCCAAAAGTCAAATTTTACTGCTCAATAAATGACTATAAGTGACCATAAATTCAATGTGCAGGAATGGTATTTTCAAGGATAGTAGTCGAGGGTTCTTGCTTTAATCTAAGCCTAAGTGGAAGGTTCTATCACCTTTTTACTCTTTGCTAGAGCTTCTCAAATATTGCAAAAGCCCGATTTTTTGACACTTTGACCTCGATTTTCTCAAAACCTGTACGTGTTGGATCCTTTGTACTTACGGATTCGTAATTAGCACAAAAAAGTATATCAAAAATAGCTTTAACATTTGTCGTACCAACATTTTTTTTCATTTTTGTTGACCTGTGTAATAGCACTTATCATGCAACGTAAAAAGAAAAAAGTCGAAAATAAAAATTATGGGCAACGGAAAAAATTTTGTCTTAAAGCTCAGTTAGTCTAGACTTAATTTCCTTAACTTACCGTAAGAAATTGGTGACGATTACTCGTCATGTCAACTTCTTTTGTTGACATTTCACTATTCTTGTGTGTTCCTCTTTGAGCGTCTTTGTTGAAATTAACTTTTTCTAATAATGAAAATGTTGCGAAAAAGGAAATTGTGTGCCATGTTCTTAAGTCTTGTACAAATGTATAAAATATGCAAGATGCGTTCACTAGGCCGGAGGAGAAGACGCTGGCATATTCATCCAATAAACAGGGATTGGTCAAGTGGAGGATACCAGCGAAAGGTGTTTGCCAAAATCAAAGAAATGGGGGAAGACCAACTTTTTGGGCACACAAGAATGACCAGGCCGGTGTATGATTTGCTATTGAATCTGGTTGGTAATTCATTGCGCAAACCTAAACAGCGTATTGACATCGAGGAGCGTATTTCTCTGACTCTTCTGTGAGTTTATTAATGTCTTCTTTTGGAATTAGTATAATATTTTCCTTTTAACCAAGGCACATGGCACATGGAGAACCTATCCAAACGATCGCATGGAAACATAAGCTGGGAAAGACAACCGTGCGTAACATTATTTTGGAGACATGCGAAGTTTTTTGACGGCTGCTCTCACCTATTTATGTTGCTGAGCCCACCGAGGCTCAATACAAAGACATAGTACAGGATTTCGATCGTATGTGGAATATGCCAAATTGCGTAGGTGCTATAGATGGCAAGCATATTGCCCTAAAATGTCCAGCCAATTCCGGGTCCATGTTTTACAACTATAAAAGGTTCTTCAGCATCGTTCTAATGGCCGTTTGTGACGCAAAGTATACGTTTACTGCAATTAGTATTGGAAGCTATGGAAGTCAAAGCGACGGAGGTAAATTGTAAAAACAAATTGACATTGTAGTGAGCCAAAAATTTCAATAAAATCATTCCATTTCAAGGCATATTTAGGATCTCACCATTTGGTCAGGCACTACTTTCCAATCAATTACCACTACCACCTGATAAGCCGTTGTGCAGTGAATCGCAACCATTTCCACACTACTTTGTTGGAGATGCTGCATTTCCTTTAAGGAGAAATATTATGCGACCATATGCAGGCACAAACTTAGACAGAAGCAAGCGCATTTTTAATTATAGACTTTCTCGAGCTCGGAGGGTAATCGAGAACAGTTTCGGCATTTTAAGTGCACGTTGGCGCATACTTCTACGCACAATGGAGTGTAGCCCAGAAAATTGCGAAAAAATTGTTCTGGCGTGTATTGCATTGCACAATTTTATTATGTTGAACGACCACCAGCGCTGGTATTGCCCTGATAATTATACAGACAGAGAAGGAGCAGATAATGTTGTACACCAAGGTGATTGGCGACGCGATATTAACGACAGTCGTGGTGCTTTCCGAACTGTTACCACATTTGCACGTAGGGGTCCTGCAGAGGCCTTCCAACTGAGAGAGAGACTTGCACATCATTTTTTGAATGCAGGAGCTGTTTCCTTCCAAAATGGAATATATCATACACCTCAGCGGAATTGATATTTGAAAATAAAACAAAGAGTTTGTTTTAACATTATTTAAATTAACATTAAACAATGCTTTCAGCTTTAACAAAAAATGTATTTCATTTGTAATTGAGTAACAATTTAATAATAATTCAAGTATAATACATAAGAAACTAAAAATGTGAGGCAAAGGATACATATTGAGATCGTAAAAACAAAATTTCATTTATATTACATGTACAGTGAGTCACACTCAAATCATAAATGATCTTCTATATTCCTAATGTTTCTCATTCAAATTTTTTTTTAACATAACCCATTTAACAAAAACCATACAAATTTGATTGAACTTTGTTAATTTTTTCTAAATTTCGCACAAAGTTTTCAATTTACATTTGTATTGTTTTTGTTAAATGGACTATATTTAAAAAAAAAACTCTAAATGAAAAAAAGTTTAATGTTGTACATATGTATACGGTGAGTGTCAGTGAAAATCTTACCCATTTTTTGAAAATATTTTGTTTTATTTAAATTTTATTAATTTTTAATGAAAATGTAGTTCACGCTACAACAAAATCCATAAAACTCAAAGCTTGTAAATTTGTAACAATTAAAAAATCTTTAAATTTTCATTAAAATTTCGTACTCTTATTCAGAACTTTTTTTTGGGTATGTAGTTTTACAGATCATTCAATTTTGGTTTTGGATTTTGTTGTTGTGTGAACTACTCCTTCATTAAAAATTAATAAAATTTAAATAAAACTAAAGATGTAAAAAAATGGGAAAAACTTACTGTTCGATTTTCACTCACTGTATATGTATACACATATAGGCGTATTTATAGTCAAAATTAAGTTGGTACTTAAAAGTTAGTTGTAGTCCCAGGTTTTAATGGGTTATGTGTTAGAAAAGCTACAACTAACCTTAAGTGCCAACTTAATTTTGACTATGAATAAGTCCCATAAAGTTATATTATAGTTATATGTACGTATATATCCACTTAGAGTAGTATTTCGTGGTATAAGAATTGATTTGGTGTACGTATACATACATATGTATGTGTATTCTAAGGTGACGATTTGTACTTCCATATTCCAGTCTTACTTATTGAACACATTACATTACATTATTAAAAAGAATTATGGCTCCGTCTCCCTCTGCAGCGCCATCACAACAGCCGTTATGCGCTCCATAGCAATGGTTTGCTTTGTAGCGCTCATCTGCTTGATTGATGCCTGCATCATCTTTGTGAAGTTATCAACAACGTCGTTTTCACCTGCCGCTTCAGGAGTTGTGCACGCCTGCTTGAACATCTCCACTGCCTCATAGAATAACTTGTCCATATCGTCTTCGTTGCCCCTCTTTTTTACCCGCTTACGAGTTGCTGACATGGAGCCTGACGGGGAGGGCGATAAATCGCTTTGACACAACTCTGGTACCGGAATAGGTGACGATGACACTTCGACGAGGAGTGGCGACTCTGGCAAGCACAGCGGCGATGATGATAAATGCTGCGCACTTTGCTCCAAAATTGATGGCGATGGATTAAGATCCTGCGGCGATGGCGGCAAGGAATCGATAAGGTTTTTGCTCGTTCTACACCTGCAATTATGATTCTTTGCATTAAATATGCATCTAACCATATTTAAGACACTTACCTCCGTGGAATTATATGCTTTTTTAAAAACTGTAGCGAGTCCATTAATGGCCAAACTTTTTCGGCCGATGCTCCACTTCCTGATGGAGCATTGAGTCGTCGGGTCTCCCTGGCGTACCTTTCCCTCAATGCCAACCACCTACGCGAACACTGTTCATCTGCAAAAGAAAGTCCATAACCACAAAGCCCTACAATCCGACACAGTTCAACTTACCTGTGCTGTTCATCTCCTTTGCTATGTGCCTCCATATATAATTTTTTCGCTCCACCAACTTATATCCAGCGCAGGATTTGTCAAAAAGCTCCCTGTTGGTGGATACTAGCTGAATTAGTTTTTCGTCATCCATCGCAACAATTTGAATTTGCAAATATTTTGTTTTGGTTTATATTTTTCTTCTCAGCTGTTTGACAGTTCGCCGCCTGGGATGCCACATCAAAAAAATTCATGCAAACAAAATATTTTGCGTTCATTTATTTTAAAGAAATACATAAATGAACATATGGCAAAACTGATTCTCTCACCGCTCTCAATTTACGTAAGGCCGTAACTTAAGAATCTAAAACCTACAGGTTCTTAAGTTTCTTACGGTAAGTTAAATTTTAACTAACCGCCAACACAGTTTCTCATATAATAGGTTGGCCAAAATATTAAGTTAAATTAAGTTACGAAAATTAAGTCTAGACTAACTGAGCTTTTAGGAATAACTCTTACCAGGCAACGTAAACAGTTTGTCTTGAGAATAACTCTCACTGAGCGACGTAAAAACGAAAAAGTCGAAAATAAAAGTTATGACCAACGAACAAATTTTAGTGTTAGGCACATGGGGCAGGTAGTATCAGTAGAGCAGATGATGTGATTTTTTTTTTTAATTATTTGGTCTAGAAAATGTCAAATATTCTTAATTTATTCTCACAAAAATTATAAAATGTTGAAGTCTATTTGCATTTTAAACCATACCAAAGAAGCGATTGAATAGCACCTTTTGGAACCTTCGCCCAACTCAGCAGCACAACCGCTGATTACTGGGCCTTGCAAAGGATGGATAAATGCACCGAGAAGCAAACAAATTTACTAAAAAAGAAAGTTGCAACAATTTTTATTTTTTCCAGTATCAATTTTTTATATTTTATTGTTTTTTTTTTGTATTTCATATGGCAAGCTTTGATTTAGAAGAAAAAATCAAAACACTTTTTGACACTTTCGATACCAGAAGCAACAACAAAATGCACGCAAATGTTTTTTTTGTCAGGGTTTGAAATGCTTAAGCAATATTAGCAAAAACAACGAAAATATGTGATATGCTAATATTCGAAATAATTGGGGTGTTCACGGTTCGTTCCAAATAGTGTCTCAAAATGTAGACGTCTACATTTTAAGACGTTTTCTAACCGTAAAATCTGTGGTGTTGTTGTTTCCCGTACAAAATTGGAAAACGACGCCGTCTACATTTTGTCACACTCAAAGGTATGTTTTTTACGCGTCTACATTTTGCAACCTCGCAGCAGGGTTGCATTATGGCAATACCAATCGCATATTTTTTTTATTTATTGGGCACGTTTTCTGTATTTGCATTTAATTTGAGCGCAATTTCTGATGAAAAGAAACAAATCAAGGAAAAGAAATAACAAATATTCGAAATTGGTAATTAAGTTAAATAATTAAAATTTTTCAGAAACAAAATCGAAAGGCGACATATAAAAAAGCACGCAAAGAAGAAATATCTGGCAACACCAGTAAAGTTTTGAGACGATTTTGCGACGACTGCTAGAAAGGGGTGCTCACAGTTTGATGCTAAAGATGTCTTAAAATGTAGACGTCTACATTTTCAGACACAATTTGGAACGAACTGTGAACACCCCAAATGATGTGCTTCTGAAGCGTTCTTGCTTCGAAAGCAATATTCATGCTTTTGCCTTGACTTTGAAAAAAATGAAAACGAATAGCCACAGCAGCAATACAAAACGATGCTTCTTAGCAAATAAATTCAATAAACTTTTGCTTTTGCTTCGACTGCGACTAATGCACGGGAATGCTGACGGCTTGTGAAAGCAAAACTTCTATTTCATCGACTGCCACTGTTGACGACTTGTAAAATAGATATTGGCGCGTATTCATAGTCCAGCCACTAAGTCGAAACTAATAAAGTTGCAACTTAAGTTTAAGTACCAACTTAAAATTCACTTGTTTTCATAGTCGCATTTCAGACTTTTACTAAGTAGTTTTAACTTAGTTTTACGATATTGCAAAACGAGTGTGAAAATGTATCGATTTTTCTTTACGATGTTTTGTAAAAATGTCAAGTTTGATCATCCGTTTATGTAATTTTTACTTTCATTGCATGTTTATGCAAAAAATAAGGTAAGAATAAAAGTAAGTTTCTTGTTAATTGTATGAAATAGCCAGAACTACCGCAATGATGTGAAGCCGATGTTTATCGAAAGCATGCTGAAACACATACATATCTAAATGTTATGCACTAATTTGCTTTAAAAGAACAAGCTTGAAATTGACTTATTATTTGAGCATTTATATATGTATGTAAATCATTCCAATTATAAAATTGTGATGTAGCCTTATTCGAATTGTAATACGCATTTAATTTCATCTTCCGATTCAAATGGATAGCTCTGTAAATTTCAATTGGAGATCATTCAATATTATCAAATTCACGCTCTGCCAACTTAATTTTTACATATTTCGTCGTTTTTCCCTTAATTTATTGAAATACTTCTTCCTAGTTACGACTTAATTGCAGCTGCAGCCGAAACTAAATTTTAAGTAGGTACTTAGCCAGAAAACTTGAAACTAAGGCGACTATGAATAGCTTTAGTTGTAACATAGGATAGTTTCGACTTAGTTGTGAACTAAATATGACTATGAATATGCGCCATTGCTTTTGCTTTGACGTGTGCTAGTCATCTAAATCATGAGCAGACGTGCCACAAACAAGCGTTGGGCTAAAAGTGAGAACGTGTTGGTGTGCTTAATTAATTTTGCATGCTGTCGCTTTCTCATCGCTACGCTCTTGCTTGTATACGTACCAGTGTTGCCAGTGACTGGATCAATAAAATCCCATCCAAATATAACCTAAATCCCGTTTTATACCAAAGTTATAACATAAATCCCGCGCTGTGTATATCCATTATACATAAAATGCTTTCGGATGAAAAACACAATTATTTACATTAGGGTGGTCCAAAAATGCATGTGGAAAAAGTATAGTCGGAATTTTAATGCCCTCACCCCCTAGGATTGTTCTATACCGAAAAAATATACCCCTATTTTTTATTTTAAATTAAAAAATATTTTGTTTTCGCTCATTTCGCTTAAAGTTTTCTATGTATGTGGGATTAGTTTACGGATAGTACTTATGATGCTAGGACTAATTGGCCATTAAGAGTTAGTAACATAGAAATGCAGCCCTACATAACGAATAAAGGAATAGAACTGTTCTAATGATTTGACGAAAGTTAC